CATCTATGCCCTTCTAAAAATATAAAATTTCTCCCCAAAACCTACAATATTAGAGAAAAAAAAATATTTTCTGACTTTGAGTTAGACAATTCTTAGATATGACACCAAAAGCATAATATACACAAAATTAAAATTGGGTAAACTGGATTTCATAAAAACTTTTTGTTCTTCAAAAATTACCATTAAAATTTAAAAAGACAATCTATAGACTGAGAGAAAATGTAAACAAAATATGCATCTGGGTGGCTTGTATCCAGAATTAATAGGATTGACAATCCAATTTTAAAATGCTCAAAGGATATGAATTACTCTCTGACAAAGAAAATTATTAGCTGGGTATCATAGCAAACATCTGTAATTCCAGATATTGAGGGGGGGATATGGGGTGGTGTGAGGCAGGGGGAAACACAAGTTCAAGACCAGTCTGAGCAATTCAATGACACCTGGTCTCAAAACAAGAACTAAACAGGGCTAGGGAGTGGCACAGTGGTAGAATAACCCTGAATTCAATCCCCAATACCACAAAAATTAAAATTTAAAAAGAAAAAAAATAGTAGGGGCTGGGGTTGTAGCTCAGTGGTAGACCACTTGCCTAGCATGTGAAAGGCACTGGGTTCATTCTCAGCATTGCATATAAATAAATAAATAAATAAAGGTCGTCAACAACTAAAAGTAATTTTTTAAAAAAGAAAGAAAACTGTTAATGATAGATAAGTACCTGAAAACATGTTCAACATTATTAGTCATTGGGTAAATGTAGATTTTAAAAAAAATCAATGAGGCACTATTATCCTGGTAGAATGCCTATATTCTAAAAGACACAATCCTACATACAGGCAAAGGTAGAACCTTCATGCATTGCTGATGAGAACTGTAAAATGCTACAATTATGTTGGAAAACAGTTTGGCATTATGTTAAAAGTAAAGCATATAGCTATCATAAGAACTAGCCTTTAGTGGGGCGCGGTGGCACACGCTTGTATTCCCAGCAGCTCGGGAGGCTGAGACAGGAGAATTGCAAGTTCAAAGACAGCTTCAGCAATGGCGAGGCATTAAGCAACTCAGTAAGACCCTGTCTTTAAATAAAATACAAAAATAGGACTGGGGATGTGGCTCAGTGGTTGAATTTCCCTGATTTCAATCCCCAATACCCACCTCCGCCCCCCCAAAAAACCTAGCCTTTCCACTCCTAGAAATCTCTACCCAAGAAATATGAAAACATACAGTCTCATAAAGACTTATATGTTAAAACTCACAGGAGTATTATTCATAATAGCCCCAAACTAGAAACACTGTAAATGTTTATCAACAGGAAAATTATGTTAGTCAGCATTTCATCACTGTGACCAAAATACCTGGCAAGAACAAGTTAGAGGAGGAAAAGTTTATTTTGATTCATGGTTCCAGAAGTCTCTGTCCATAGTTGGTCAACTCCATTACTCTCTACCTGAGGTAAAGCAAACTATTGTGGCAGAAGAACATGGGGAAGAAAGCTGCTCAACTTTTGGCAGTCAGGAAGAGGAAAGAGACAACTTAAGGATCCAGGGACAAAATATAATCCCCAAGGGTACACCCCCCCAAACTACTTCCTCCAGTCTTGCCCCACCCATCTAGTTATCACCCAGTAATCCATTCAAATCATTAATCCATCAAATACATTAACCTATCAATTAGGTTATACTCCTTATTTAATCATTTTGAATGAATGTTGCTACATTGAACATCATCATTTCCAATATACCAGCCTTTGGGGAAACATTTTATATCCAAACCATAACACTAAACAAACCGTGGTTATTCCATACAGCTCATCAGAAAAAAGTAGTGATAGATGAAATAATGTGAATAAACCTCAAAAACGTTACCTAAGTGAAAGAAGTCAGATATAAAAAAATTACATATTTCATTTATATAAAAAATTCTAGAAAAATCAAAAATAGAGATAGTGGTTGTATGCTTGGAATGACACCATCAAACAGACACAAGGAAAGTTTTTAGGATGATGGATAATGTTTTAAAACTAAGTTGTGATGACATGTGTGCAATTGTTCAAAATTTCTAAAACTTATCATATATACTCTCAACAGATACACTTCATATACCATAAAGAACACCTCAGCCAAGGTTGTGGCTTAGTGGTAGAGCGTTCGCCTAGCATGTGTGAGGTACTGGGTTCGATCCCCAGCACCACATAAAATAAAGGTATTATGTCCATCTAAAACTATATATACATGTATATGTGTGTGTGTATATATATAGAGAGAGAGAGAGAGAAAGAGAAAGCGAGAGAGCACACGTATATATAATGTGCATATATATAAAAATGTAAAAAAAAAAAAAAGAAGAAGAAGAACTCTTCAATGAGCCAGGCAGAATAATGTCTCCTTTACCCCAAAGAGGTCCACATATTCACTTCAGAACCTTTGAATATGTTACATTAGGTTACAAGGCAAAGGGGAATTTAGATTGAAGATGAAATTAACATTAGTAATCAGATGATCTTAAAGCAAGGAGGTTACCCTGGGTTATCAGAGTAGTCCCAATGTAATAAAGAGATATTCAAAAATAGAAAAGGGAAAAAGGAGGGGGAAAGGAGGTTAAAAAGATGCAATGTGGGAAGAACTTGGCTAGCCTTTGCTATCTGGAAAATTACAGAAGGGGGCTGCAACCCAAAGAATTTGCACAGCAATTATTTCTAGAAGCTGAAAAAGGTGAAATTCTCCTCTAGAGTCTCCATTATTTAGTCCTGCTGACACATTGATTTTAACAAGTGAGATTTCATATTAAACTTCTGATCTAAAAAAAAAAATCACAAGGTAACAAATATGTTCAGTAAAAGTTTAAAAATGAGACCCAAGAGAGGAAAAGTTAGAGGTCTCACATTACCTCATTTCAAAACTTACTAAAAGGTTCAGTCATCAGACTAGTGTGATACTAGCATAAGGATGGAACTGAGATTCCAGAAACAAGTCCATACCCCAATACAAGTGATTTTCAACCAAGTGCTACATCAATCCAATTAGAAAAGATTAACCTGTTCAACAAATGGTGCTAGGACAACTGGATATTAATATACAAAATAATGAAGTTAAAACTCTTAAACTGATACTGTATATAACATATAAATAAATCTTTATGACCTTTAATTTGGTAATGGTTTCTTTAATATGACAGTGAAAGCACAACCAAAACAAATAATAAATTGAACTTCATCAAATAAAAAAACATTTGTTCAGCCGGGTACAGAGCACACACCTGTAATCCCAGCAACTTGGAAAGAGAATCTCTAAGGCAGGAGGATCTCGAGTTCAAAGTCTGCCTCAGCAAAAGTGAGGTGCTAAACAACTCAGTGAGACCCCCGTCTCTAAATAAAATACAAAATAGGGCTGACGATGTGGCTCAGTAGTCAAGTGCCCCAGAGTTCAATCCACATACCCCTCCTCCCCCCAAAAAAAATCTATGCATTTTTTTAATGAAGATAAACCATACAATGGTAGAAAATACTTGCAAACTATTATATGATAAGGATCTGGTGTCCAGAATAAACTCTTTGAACTCAACAACAAAAAGAATCTAATTTTAAAATGGTCAAGCTGGTTACAGTGATGTGCACCTGTAGTCCCAGCTACTCAGATGGTGAGCAAGATCACATGAACCCAGGAATTCAAGACCAGCCTGGACAACATGGCAAAACCCTACCTTAAAAGGCGGTGGGGCACTATTACAGTTATCTAATACTTGACAAAGATGCCAAAAATCTATGTTAGAGAAAAGTCTTTTATCAAATGGTGCTGATAAAACTGAATATCCACATATAGAATGAAACTAGAACCCTCTCACCCTGCATGTAAGTCCAATCAAGGTGGATCAAAGACCTTACTTAGTATTAGACCAGAAACTTTGCAACTGATAGAAGAAAACAGAATCAACACTCCAACATATTGGCGCAGGCAGTAACTTCCTTAACAAGATCCCTGAAACTCAAGAAATAAAACCAAGAATCAACAAGTGGGATGCTATCAGATTAAAAAAATCTTCTGAACAGCAAAGGACATGATTAAGAGCATGACAAGAGAGCCTACAGAATAGGAGAAAATATTTGCCAGCCACTCCTCTGATGGGGGGATTAATACCCAGAATACATAAACAACTCAAGAAAACTTAACAGCAAAACAAAACAAAAACCCAATTAATAAATGGACAAAAGAACCAAACAGATATTTCTCAAAGGAAGAAATATAAATGGTCAACAAATATATGAAAAATGTTCAATATCCATGGCAATCAGGGAAATGCAAACCAAAACAACACTTTGAGATTCCATCTCAATCCAGTTAGAATGGCATTCATCAAGAACACAAACAATAATAAATGCTGGTGAGGATGTGGGGGAAAAGGTACACTCACACACAGCAAAGGAAATGATAAAGAGCATGACAAGAGAGCCTATGGGCTGGGACTGCAAATTAGTATAACCACTTTGGAAAGCAATATGGAGATTCTTGAAGAGATTGGGAATAGAACCACCACATGGGGCTGGGGATGTGGCTCAAGCGGTAGCGCGCTCGCCTGGCATGCGTGCGGCCCGGGTTCGATCCTCAGCACCACATACAAAAAAAAAAAAAAAAGGTGTTGTGTCCGCCGAAAAATAAAAAATAAATATTAAAATTCTTTCTCTCTCTCTCTCTCTCTCTCTCTTAAAAAAAAAAAAAAAAAAAAAAAGAACCACCACATGACCCAGCTATCCCCATAGTGATACAGGCACATCAATGTTTGCGAAAGTGTAATTCACAATAGCCAAGCTGTGGAACCAGCCCAGGTATCCATCAATAGACAAATGGGTAAAGAAAATGTGGTTTGTATGCACAATGGAGTTTTACTAGGCTATAAACACGACTAAAATTATGGCACTGCTGGTAAATGAAATTGGAGAACATCATGCTAAGTGAAATATTCCTGACTCAGAAACTCAAATGTCAAATGTTCTCTCATATGCTAAGTAAGGACGGGGGAGTCAGGGTGGCATGGATCTCATGAAAACAGAAAGATGATCAGTGGAGTAAGCAAGGAGACAGAGGTAAGAAGGGGAAAGGGAGGAAACTGGAATTAATTTATTACAGTGAATTTGACCTTTGTGTATATGTATAAAGTCCCAATTAAAATATAAATAAATAAATTAGAAGGAAGACCAAAGACCAGAAGAGGAGAGGAAGGGGAACAAGGGGAGGGAGGAGGAGAGGGAAAGAAAAAGCACTGGGGACTGAAATGGAGCAAATTATACTCCAAATATGCATCATTACATTGAAATGAACCCCACTATTATGTATAACTACAACATACTAACAAAAGCATGTTTAAAAACAGTAGGTGGAGGAAGGACTTGAAAGAGCACATCACCAAGGAATACATACAAATAGCCAACAAGCACATAAAAAGATGCTTAGCATCATTATTAGTCTTTAGGGAAATGAAAATCAAAACCACAATAATATCTACTTCACACCCACTAACACAATTACAATTTAAAAATAAGTAAAAATAATGTTGGCAAGAACATGGGGAAACTGGATCCCTCAACCCTCAGTAGGAATGCAAAGTGGAAAAGCTGCTGTAGAAAACAGTTTGGGAATTCCTCAAGGAAGTCAAGCAGAATTATCACTTGAATCAGTAATTATACCTCTAAATATACACCAAGGGACTAATCAGATGTCCCAACAAAAACTTGTAAATGCCAATCTAGGGGGTTGAAGACTGAAGGAAAATAAGTTTAAAAGGTACAAGTGTTCTTTCTCTAGAATTTTATTTTAGAACTAGACAGTGTCATGGCTATACAACATTATGAATGTGCTAGATGCCACTGAGTTATAGACATTAAAATGGCTAAAATGGTAAATTTCACAATAACATACCACGATTTTAAAAAGTGAGAAAGAGGGATAATATGCAGGCCAACGTACCTAGGGTATATACACTGACTTCAGAAACATTCTGAAACAAATTTAAAAAGGAGGAGTGATGGATAGATACAGGGATCGGTGAAAAGATAATAAAGCAAGTATGACAAAATGGAATCTACGTGATGAGTATAGGATTCTTCACTATAAAACACTTCCAATTAATCTGTATGTTTTAAAGTTCTCATAACAAATTTTGAAGAAAAGTTATGCTTAATATGCATTTACAAACCACAACTCTACCCTGCCCTAATTCCCACCTCCAGAAATTTTCACTTATCTCTTAGATGGGGATAGCTGCAGGAGATACTTGAGGTATTATGTTGAGGAGGTATTATGTTGAGTTCAATATAATTTCTTTTCTCTAGACAATGCCTCCCCCATCCCCACAAGTGATGGGTGCATAGCCATGTTTACACTGCTGATCCTGGCCAGAACTAACTGAACTAAAAGATGACAACTTGATCCAACCTAGACCGATCACATTCTTTCTCAAAAATATTTGGGAAAGGACCAAAAATTTGGATTAATTCTGAGCTCTGGCTTCAATCAAGGAACCAGGTTAATACAATAAGTCAAAAAAATGTAGAAATTAATATGAAGTCACATTATATCATGCTTACATTAATGCCACTGTAAAAATAAAAACATTTTGTAAAGAAAATAAAGCAGTAGAAGTCAGGAAGGAAAGAGAGGAAAATGATACATTACTTTCCTACTACTTGTTTCATCCTACTACTTAGGTTTCATTCTGAGGCCTGTCTATATTCTTCATTTTTGGATCCTTGGGATACCTCAGTTTTTTTCCCAATAATTTCCTTATAATGCAAGTTGGCTGGAGTTAACTTCTTTTATATATTGTGAAAACAAGTAAAACCCTGACCTTGTTACTATAAAGACAACTTTTCTTCTGATCATTTACATGTAAAATTATTATAAACTTAGGTATTTTATTGTTCTATTTTGTTGCCAAAATGTTTGCACATTTATTAACATTTTTAATGGCTGCCTCAAATTAATAAAGCAAGCATTCCTTGAACACAGCGTGCATAACAAACCTTAATCTTTACTTCACAACTTAGAATTATTATTATGAGGATCGATTACTGTTTTGTGATACACATGTAGGTGCAGCTGGTGTAGAATAAATGATTTCTAAACAGAATCTGCTTTATGACAAAAGTTTTGTCAGCAGCTAGTCTTATGACATACCATACACTACTATAATAAACAAGACATGTATTCTCTAGCACATGGGTGAGCAAACTTCTTATGTAAAGAGCCGGATCTCAGACTTTGTGGGCCACAGGGTCTGTTACAACTACTCACCTCTGCTACTAGAGTGCAAAAGCAGCAACAGACAATACAATAAATAAATTCAAATAAAATTCTATTTTATGTACACTGAAATCTAAATTTCATGTAATGTTGCTATTCTTAACAATTTTTCCCCTTGACCATTTACAAATGTAAAACCCATTCTCTGCTCATAAGCCTCACAAAAAATAGACAGAACTGCCATGTTTGGTGGTGCATGCCTGTAATCCCAGCAGCTCGGGAGGATGAGGTAGGAGAATTGTGAGTTCAAAGCCAGCCTCAGCAACTCAGTGAGGCACTTAACAACTCAGCCAAACCCTATCTCTAAATAAAATATTTTAAAAAGGGCTGGGGATGTGGCTCAGTGGGTAAGCATGCCTGGGTTCAATCCTCAATACTAAAAAATAAATAAATAAATAAAATTATATATATATTTTTTTAATTCAGTTTCTATGTCTACCCTAGGTAGAATGGGAAACACAGATGAAGCTGTACTCCTTAACTAGAATAGAGCTTTTTTAAAAAAATATATTTTTAGTTGTAGTTGGACACAATACCTTTATTTTATTTTTATGTGGTGCTGAGGATGGAACACAGGGCCTCTCTCGTGCTAGGTGAGCGCTCTACCGTTGAGCCATAAATCCAGCTCCGGAGTAGAGCTTTTTGATGTTCTTTTCTCTATGAGCACTCCTATTTTACTCTCCCATTGGTACCAATCTAGATTATCCTCTTCCCTAAAATCATTCTTCTTTCATCTTTTATCTTTTGCTAGTCATTTCCCCATTGCTATCTAATAGTAAAACCAATCAATCTAATCACAGCATATCTTGTAAGGGTAGTGTTTCTTTATTCATTTCTTTTCTCTTTATTTTATTTTATTTTTATTTTTATTTATTTATTTAGTTGGTGCTGGGGATTGAACTCAGGGCCTCATATATGCTAAGCATGTACTCTACCATTGAGTTACACCTCTAGCCCCTCTTCTAGATATTTTTAAATTTTCTTTCTGTTTTTAGCCATTTTTAGATTTTTTTTCTTTAATGTTTTTGTTTTTTACTTCTCTAGTTTCAAACAACTTTTAAAAAAAAATCTGGGTAGGGATGGGATAAGGAGGTTCTTGTTTTTGCTTCTCTGGTTTCAAACAAATTTTGTAAAAAGATGGGTAGGGATAGGAGTAGGAGGCTCTATAGGTCTGCATTATACCAAGGCTTCAAGAGGTTTAATACGATAATCACTATATAATATTTTTAAAACATCATTTGCTTTGTGCTATAATTTATAATAATATACCTAATATAGAGGCTAATATATTCCTAATATCTAAACTAATACATTAATTTTAGGTTAGTCTGACCACATGAATCTCATTTTCCTCTTTTCCCTGGTAACTAATTTGTTTTTTATGTCCTCCTATTTATGTCTTTAATTTGAAAGATCTAAATCTTTAAATTCCTTGAAGACTAAAATGGAAGCTATAAACCTATATTGTCATGTAATGAAAATATAGATAACCTTTCAAAAAACTCTTTTATTTAAACATACTATATTCTGGTTCACTAATTTTTTACTTTCTTTAAGTTACTTATGCTCTTATTTCTTATAAATGGAAACTTGGAGGAACTTTTATGAAAACATGTATAATTAGAAGATCATAAGGCTACCAGAATTACTGTAAAATAGTAAACATCAAAAATATGGAGCTTAATCACTTAGGAAATAAAATACATGAGAATGTCCAGGACTACTAGTATAAGATCACTAGAAAATAAAAAGATATCTAAAATTAGAAAACACCTGTTTCTTTATGATTCTTTCAGACTGCAGGTGCTTTGGTATTCAAAGCATTCATTTACAACAACTCAAATTACAGAGGAACCAGGTAGTACTAGACTTCAAAAATGATGACAATAATAAATACATAAATAATAAATACAATAATAAATACATAAAATATCACTACTTATAATAAGTAGTATAATAGTATCTCCATAAGTAGGGGAAATTTTTTTTAATGTTCTCCAAGTACTTAACTTACACAGAATTGAAAAGATAAAGTGAAAGGTTACACTGTGCAACAGGTGACTGACTAAAGATTCTTTAGCCAAGAAAAGTAAAACTTTTAAGTATATAAATTTTAAAATCTGGGTCTCACAGTTTTTTGTTAAAATATGTGGCATAGGGGCTGGGGATGTGGCTCAAGCGGTAGCGCGCTCGCCTGGCATGCGTGCGGCCCGGGTTCGATCCTCAGCACCACATACCAACAAAGATGTTGTGTCCGCCGAGAACTAAAAAAAAATAAATATTAAGAAAATTCTCTCTCTCTCTCTCTCTCTCTCTCTCTTTTAAAAAAAAAAAATATGTGGCATATAGAACTAAAATTAGTTTAAGAAGGAATTTGTCCACCAGAGGGGGCCCTTACAAAAAAAAAAGGAAAAATAAAATACTAACAGAAATCAATAATATGAAACAACCGAATGACAAAATCCTTAAAGTCCATGAATTTTACACAATCACATGCAAAATTCTGTGAATGTTATTTTTCTGAGAAACACCAAATTTCTATCATTGCAATGGGCCCCTGGACTTAAATGACCAAACACATGAAAGAGCTATAACTAGTTACTCACAGCAACTCAAGCAAAGAAATTAATATTTGTCCCTTTCCACTCTACTCCATACTATCCTCTTTTATTAAAAGCCAGTCACCTACATACACAATGTCAACAGTCATTCTGAAACAGTCACCTAATTCTGGGTTTAGTGATTCTGGGAAAATCCAAGTTATCACTATTCTTGGCTTCCCTCTTACTTCCTACCATCTACTTACATGAAATAGTTTCTATATGTCTTGGTATATCTTGAGATCAGTAAAATAAAATGTATGAAGAAACAATATCTATCAGTAGCTAACTATTAATCCAGAATGTATCTGTTTTTGAAAATAACATTTACTGAATACTTAATAACATTATTTCATGTAAACCTCATGATAACTCCATGATGCAGAAACTACTGCCTATCCTCACTTTATAGATGAGGGCACTGAGACTTAAAGGTCTCAATGATGGTAAAGAGCAAACTACAAACTACAGCACTGAACCAAAGACAAGAAAACACATATGATCTACTCATCCAGAATTTAAAGAGTCAGGCAGTTAGCCAAAAGACAATTCCTGATATACAGTCATTTTAAATACCCAATCAACAGAAGAAAATTTATAAAATAACTGTGTATTTGTTGAGTCTTTCATAGACAATGTATAAGTAGGTAGGCAGGTAGGTCATTTTGAAGAATAAGAATTCAACAATTCCCATATATTCAGTTAGTCAAATTTTTCAGAATTGACAAAACTTTAATTCACTTGCTAATCTGTATTAAATGAAATTAGTGGCATGTTTTCAGAAATTCCAATATATTTCTCCATGTAAAAAAAAATGGTTTGGGACTAAATTATTCTTAAGATCCCATTAAGCAATAAAATTCCATGACTGCAAGAAAACTGAATTATATGACTTTTCCCCTCTAGTTTGATTTATCTCTGCCTCCTAAATGGATGTTTCTGATTATACAAATATGAATCATATGACTAAGCACTATAACTCAAAACACATATACAAACTACCCAGTTTTAAAAGGTTGTATTTTGGGGCTATGGTAACTTTTATAGTTTGTACACTGATTTTATGATGTACTATATAGAAGTTATTTTAAATGTCTATTCAGAAATATTTCCACCATGATCTGGGTATGTGGCCTATACTGACAAGTTATATCCCACTATCCTAAACATAGGGATGGATTCAAAGACAGGCATGTAATAAATAATATGCTGACACTAGGAAAAACAAGGGTTTTCTCCTACTTGGAGTCTCAATTGAATTAATCTAGGATTGGGGCTACTAATGCCTTCCTTCCCAGCAATAGGAAGAAAAATCTAATAGTAGCTTAAGGAAATGAAGCCAAACAGAGACAAGAAGAAATGAGAAAAAAAAAAAGAATAAAGTCTGGAAGACATCAATCTGGCCCCTGAATTCATTCCTGCCCTTCCAAAGTAAAAAAGTCAAAGCATGGAATTTTTGCTTAAGCTTGTTTACACTGGCTTTCTAACATTTGCAAGAAGTCTCTACTGAAGTAACTCAGATGACAGGTTTCAACATGAGTGCCAACCCTTAATATTGGCAGTGACTGCCTGCAGCATTGTGATGAGAGGGATTCTAAAGTCTTGTCTAGAAAAAGAATGCAATGAGCTAACAGTGGTATCTGTGCAGTAAGTCTGCACAAATGCCACCACATACATGTTAGCCCTTAATGGAGCAGTGTCTAAGAAAATAACATTGGCATATAAGCAAAAGAGGGGGAAAAAAAAAACCCAAGAAGCCAAAATGGAATGGAAAAAATTACATGAGGGAAGGGATAAAATACCACCAAAAAATGCCAACAAATTAAAAATTGGCTTAACATTTTAATGTCCCAATTATTCTCCCATTTAACAGTTTAAGAAAACACTAATCTATTTCAATTTGATTCTCTGGATTTTTTTTTTTCTTTTTGCTTAAATACACTCTGGATCTTTTGTGACGCAAAGGGGGAAAAAATAAGGCTTATCAGTTTAGGTTTCTGCTTCATCTCAAATCCCATGATTTCAGGTATTTTTCTAACTGAAATTTTATTGAGATAAATGTGGATTCACATACAGTTGTAAAAAAATAATACAGAGCAATCCTTGTCCAGTTTTTAACAATAATATAATTTCTGCAAAACTACAGTATGTCACAACCAGAACACTAACAGACACAATCTGACAAATCTTATTCCTATTTCCATCTACAGCACATTTTAACTAGCTAATACATCTTTGCTTTAATTCTATCAACTCTTCTAAATACTTTTTTTTAATATTTTAAAAGTATATTTATTTGCTCTAAAATACATGATTAAGCATGAATATTTATCTCATAAAAATATATTTTAAAATGATGTAAATATATGTATTTTGTGCCACATACTGCTTATAGGTAGCTTACACTTATTCTTGCTATTTTCTTTGATAACTCTGAGTTTGAGAAGGGTATCTCTTCCTGATCTCTTGGCTAGATGGTAGCTACTCGCCGTCACGTAGTGAGAAATAATCTAAGGTTTCTGCTCAAGTTTTGTTTTCCTAACTTAGTTAAGTTTCTTAAGTTAACATAAGTTCCTAACTTAAAGGTAAAACTGTGTCTGGAGTTGAAACCTCCGCCAGGGAATCAAGGCATGAGGAAAAACAGAAAAAAGAATCATGGAACCCTTGAATACTGTTGAGTCACTGAATGAGCAGTAGACACTGGCTTTTCCTGGCTACATTGTACTCGTTCTTAAAAACTACACTGAGATTTTAAGAGAAAAATTATGGCCGTTTATTATTATTTGCAACTATACAGATACATTTAAAAAAATAAATTGAAGCTTAACATATATTTTTTGTAGACCATAGATGACATGACATGCTGTGGCCATTTTTTTTCCGAAATTTTCAAATATTATAGCTGTACTAAACAATAGTCCTACTAGCTCTCCTCCTGCATGTGGTAGTTCTGGCAGGGGATGGTATCTCCCTGTCCTATATGTAGCCTGAACCTAGTTTCTGCTACTGCTGTCTTGGTTTTTTTTTTTTTAATTTTTTATTAGTTGCTCAAAACATTACAATGATCTTAACATATGGTACATTTGATTCAAATGGGGTATGTAATCTTATTTTTCCACATGTACAGATTGCAGGATCACATTGGTTATACAGCCACTTTTATACATAGGGCCATACTAGATACTCTTTATAAAAATTCTATTTTAATAGACTCCTACCCCACTGGTGCCATAGTTGTCCCCAGATAGAGGAACTAGGTGTGTAGAATCAAGGGTCTCAGCGTGTATAGCAGGGGACTTACCAAATGGCCAAGGGTGTTCTGACTTCCTGAGTTCAGTTTCATTTTTCTCAAAGTCGAGCAACTGATGGAGCAACTTGTGCAGTTCAGGGAGAGAAGGTGGGAGTTCCCTGAACAATACTAACAGACACAATCTGACTCTTTTAAATACTCTTTATAAAAATTCTATTCGTTCCTCAATTTTTTTAACCTAGACTTTACTTATAATTTATTCTCTTTAAAAGGAGCTTTTAGGTTTCATGCTATTCTTGATTTATGTATATTTCACTATCACTACCCTCATTCTATTTATCTATAACTTAGATATAATTTATTTATAATATAATTCAATTTATCTATAATTAGTTCCATTGTAATTTTTTCCCAACAAATTGGTCTTGGGATCAAGAATCCTGGAATTGAAGAATCGTGGGCTCTGGGACAGGAGTTCCCTGTGTTTCTCCTTTGCTAGCAAAGTAACAAAACTTTTTCCTTTTTCTTAAAACCTTGTCTTCATTATTGGATTGGCATCAAGGACAAGGATCAAGCTTTCTGTTAAAATTGGACTACCGCAGCAGGACCATGCAGTAATCACGCCCCCCATCCCGGGCCCCATCTACCCACTCCAGCTTTCTTGGGCAGGTCTGGCACTCCAAGCAATCTCCACTTCCATGCTAAGGATACAAGGTGGCTGGTGAATTTCTTGAGAGTTGACTGCTGGAAATATTGGGAGACGGTGAGTTTGCCTTGGATCAAACCAAAGGAGCTGTTCTGTGAGTTAACAGAGGGGCTGAGGGACTATAGAAGTCTTTTTGCTTCAGGGAACTCCCACCTTCTCTCCCTGAACTGCACAAGTTGCTCCATCAGTTGCTTGACTTTGAGAAAAAGGAAACTGAAATCAGAAAAAGTCAGGACACCATTAGCCATTTGGTTAAGTCCTCTGCTATGCAACGCCGAGATCCTTGATTCTACACACCTAGTTCCTCTTTGTGGGAACATTTGTTCCCTCTTTCTGGGAACAACTGTGGCACTAGTGGGGTAGAAGTCACAGTTCAGCAGGACTTGAGAACCTAGGGATATTTACTCCCTTTTGATGTGTTCTAGGTTTTCATCTGTTTATTGGCCTTGAGTTTGGGAATTCCCTCTCTGTCTGCCTGTGTTGTTGTTGTTTGTATCCATTACTGGCCCATTTAAGACATGAGCAACACTGCATCAATTTCTTCTGATGGTCCCTTGAGAAAGATCCTGGCTGACTGGGCCATGTATAGCTATAAACCTATGACTAAGAAAAAGATATTATGTGCATCATATATATATATATGTGTGTGTGTGTGTGTGTGTGTGTGTGTGTGTGTACATACATATATAAAATATATATGGAGAAAAATATGGTGTTTTACTGAAGTCTGGCCAATGTACGTTCTGTAAGGGGAAGAAAGGTGGCCATTGTCTGGTACTCTGAAATACCATATGATATTACAGTTAGTTGGAGCTGTTCTGCCAGAGGAAAATGAGAAGAAATCCCAAATATGCAGGCTTTTATGTTGCTACATAATAAGGAGTCTGAATGTCCAGGGACTAAGTTGCTGGTTCATAGAAAGGCACAGCCTCTAGTGTGTGAGGACAGCAGAAAGTCAACACAGACAGTTAAGGAGGATTTGATAAACTTTAATATAACAAACAATCCTACTTCTAACCTAGTACTGACCAGCCAGCTGGTCTGGCACCACCTCTGGCTCCCACTAGCTCTCTTAGTCCCATAGGGAGCCATCCACATGAAGGGAAGGTGGAAGAAGAGGGGCTCCCACTATCAGCATCATCATGCTATGACTCAGGGTCAGGGATGGTCTCCCCATCTAAAACCTGCCAGGGTATTCTTTCTGGCTGGTGAGCACCCATTGCCAGGGCAGGTCAATTCCCCCTAAGGCAATACCTCATCAGCATAAATGCACAGGGGCAACCAACAGGGTATCAATGGACTTACAGTCCCTTCTTAACCTCTGACTTGATTAACTGGGAAAATCTGAACCCAACCTGTCAAGAAGATTCACAAAAAATGGCTGAGTTATTTACTACCATTTTGCTACTCACTGCCCCACCTGGGCAGATATACAGACTCTGCTTAGTATGTTACTCACAGCTGATGAGCACCAAATAGTGATAGATAGGGCAAGGGAAGACGCTCAGAGGCTCCATGATGAGGATCCCAATCACAGAAGCTATTCCTATAAGGGAGCCCAATGGGGACAGACAGCAAAATGATTAAACATTATCAGAAAGTCTTTTGGTGGGACTCAGAAGAAGAGTACCCAAGCAAAAAAGTTTAAGATTCAGGAATTACAACAAAAGATCAATGAGAAACCATTAGAATTTTTAGAGCGAGTTTATTAGGCATACAGGAAATACATAGATACAGAAGCCCCTGAAAACCTTCACATAGTCAATATAACTTTCAATGGGCAAAGTGCTCCAGATATAAAGAAAGAGGAAACTTTAGCAGGTGGAAGGGGCAATTGGTATGAACCCCTCACAGCTGGTTGATATTGCCTTCAAGGTATACAATTCCAGAGAGGAACAGAAACAAAATCGGTTTGTGTTTTACTGGCAACCCCTGCAAAAGGGAGCCTTAAGAAAATCCAAAGGAAGGAACAGGAATAGGAGTCGAAGCAAAACCAACGTGCCTACTGTAAGGAGGAAGAAAATTGGAAAAAGAACTGTCCAAGGAAGCAAAGGTTCCCAGAACCAGATCACACCCCAGAAAAAGAAATTGTTTCCCAAATCCAAGGCTCCAGGCCTTGTTGGAGGCCTCTATACCATTAGCCCCAAAAGAGCCCCAGGTACAAATGACAGTGGGGACCCACTGACTTCCTGTTGAACACTGATGCCAGTTATTTTGTTGTAAATACTAAATTGACCTCCTTAAGCATTAACGTGCTGGCAGTAGTTGTAGTGACAGGCTGCACTGAGCATCATCCATTGCTCCAGCCCCTTGAATGTAAACTGAGAGAAAAAAAAAATTAAGGCATAATTTTTTGTATATGCCAGATTGCCCAATCCCTCTCCTGGGATGAGATCTGTTATATTAATTAAATGCACAGATAACATTCTCACTCAAAAAGCAACAGCTTCATCTATAAGTACCTCCTGAAATGTACTCTGGCTCCAGCTTTTTTGCTTGCTAACCAGGAAAAGGAAACTGAACCCATCCCATTGAAGGTCATCAGAAAAGTGAGTAAAAATATATGGACTGATGGGATTCCAGGCAGGGCCATTAATGTTACTCCCATCAAGATCTTGCTTAAGGAAGGGGTAGCCTGCCTCCAAAAAAAAGAAAAAGAAAAAAGTACTCCCTTAAAAGAGTCACTAATAAGAATTCAGCCACTTCTAGATAAGTTTTTGAAATGGGTTGATTCATCCTTGTCAGTCCCCGTACAATATGCCTATCCTGCCCTGTTAAGAAACCTCACACGAATGAGTACCAATCTGTGGAAGACTTGAGAACTACAAAAAATATTATTCAGGACATTCATCACAGTACCTAATCCATATACCCTGTTGACTACAATGCCAGGTAACTCTGCCTACTGGTTCACTGAATTTAAAGGATGCATTCTTTTGTATCCCTCAGGAAAGAAAGTCCCAATTACTATTTGCTTTTGAATGGCAAGACCCAAATATCCAAGTAACTACTCAGTATTGCTGGCTGTCCTACCTTAGGGATTTAAAAACTCCTACTCAATTTAATGAATGGCTGCCAAAAGCCTTGCAAGGGCTACAGCTGCATCAGGGAATCCTCTTACAATATGTGGATGACCTGCTTTTAGCTAGCCCAGACTATGAACATTGTCTTTCAAATACTATTGCTGCTCTAAACCATCTAGCCTCATGCGGATATAAGGTGTCCACTAAAAAGGACCAAATTTGCAAACAAGTCACTTACCTGGGATTTCAGATTAGCCAAAGAACCCAAAGTCTGATGCCAGACCAAAAGCAGACAATCTTAAGCTTTAGGAAACCCAGAAACCAGAGGCTGTTATTGGGTTCCTGGGGAAGGCAGGATTCTACTGTATCTGGATCCCTAACTTTGGACCAAAAGCAAAGTCCTTGTGTGAGGCACTAAAAGGAACAGAAATAGAACCTTTGATTTGGATCCCAGAATGCCAAGCTGCTTTTAAGAAGTTGTTATGGTTTGGATGTGAAGTGTCCCTCCAAAAGCTCACGTGTGAGACAATGCAAGAAGGTTCAGAGGAGAAATGACTGAGTTGTAAGAGTCTTAACCCAATCAGTGATTTAATCCTCTGATAGGGATTAACTGAGTGGTAACTGCAGTGGTAGGATGTGGCTGGAGAAGTAGGGATTGAGGCTATGGGGTATAGATTTTGTATCTGGAAAGTGAAGTCTCTCTCTCTGCTTCCTAATCATCATGATGTGAGCTGCTTCCCTCTGCCATCCTCTCCCAACCATGATGTTCAGCCTCACCTCAAGTCCTAAGGAATGGAGCTGGCCTTCTATAGACTAAGACCTTGGAAACTGTGAGCCCTCAAATAAACTCTTCCTCCTCTATAATTGTGCTGGTCAGATCCTTTAGTCACAGTAGCGAAAAAGCTGACTAAAACAGAAGTTAAAATATAGCCTCATGATAGCCCGTGCCTTGGGACTTACCAAGGAATTCAGATTCTACATGCATGAGAAACAAGGCACAGCCCTTGGAGTTCCCTTACAGACACTAGGAGATATACCACAACCAGTGGCCTATTTATCAAAACAGCTAGACCCCTGTAAGGATGGCCTTAGGCATGAGCCTAAGCAAATCCATTTTAAAACTCCAGTTTGAAACCTGCAGTCTCACCAGGCATGCCTAATGGAGCCCTACATTATGGACCTCAGGCACAAACAAATCACTTCTCCCCACCCTGACAAACTCAGAGTGAAGTCTCTAGCATGTGGTCCTCGATAAGGCAGAAAGGCAAGAAAATCAGGGTGGGGACCACCAAACCAGATGCTTTAACCCCAGGGTAAATGACGTTGGTGGCAGCTGATAGGGATTCAAAGGGGTGGTCAAAAGTCCCCAAATTTAGTATAAATAAGGGAGCAAATGAACAGACATTCAGCCAGCCCACACTGATGCCCTCACATGAAGAGTCTGATGAGGACCTGGAATGACATCCCAACTCTTCTCATCATTTGCCTGATCCTCTGATCTTCCTCACCGCTCTCAAATTCTACAGCCACATCTTGACCCTGTTGAGAACTGCAACTTCTCCCTACAACCCTCTCCTCAACAGGCCATCAGCTCCACCCCAGGAGAAGCCTGCCTTGGTTCCTGATCTGATCACCACGGTCTGAGAAGTATACATCTGTGGGACTCAAAGCCTAAGGCTTGAGACTTTTGATCTGACACTTGAACTTAGCATGCAGAGAGATGTCTGGTATGAGCCTGTCATGATTAAGTGTGTTTGCAGTGCCTAGAATTAATCTAGAATTGTTTGCTGTGAATTAATTAATTTAAAACTGTTTTCTATGAATTGATTATGTTTATTGTAGTGCTTAGCATTAAGGATTGTCATTTTTCTTGATTAAGAACCTATAGAGTGAAACTGTATTGAGTGATTTGAGTGAATAAAACATTGACAAAGGCAGAAGCACATGGACATTCTTTATTTCTTCCCCCTCAACTGCATAAATTGCCCCTTTTGCCATTGCAACAATCACAGAGCCCTAGGTGGCCCTCCTGCCTGCAGCCAGCAGCTGCCACTTGTGATTTGCTATAGGAAACTGAAAAGTTCACTCTAGAACAACCCATCACTATATTTGTCCCCCACCAAGTCTTGGTCCTACTAGAACAGAAGGGTGGCTACTGGCTGACTGCTAGGAAAATAGAGAGATATCAGGCCATCCTACTACACAACCCCATCGTCAATTTGTGTTATGTTATATCCAGCAACACTGTTGCCATTAGATAGTAACAGACCATACACATAACTGCCTAGACATTTTAGAAACTGTCTACTCTAGCAGGCTGGACTTTTCTGATCAGCCTATCACAGAGCCAGACTGGGACCTCTTCAGAGATGGGAGCAGCTTCATAGATAATGGTCAGTGTAGTAGCTAGATATGCTATGGTCACAAGAACAACAGGTATTGGAAGTTAAGGCTTTATCACTGGGAACATCAGCCCACAAAGCAGAGCTAATCGCTCTGACAAGAGCTCTCAGGCTATCAAAAGGAAAGAAGGTAAACATTTATATAGACTCCAAATATGCTTTCACGATAGTACAAGCACATGGGGCTATTTGGAAAGAAGGCTCCTCACTGCTGAAAACAAGGACATTAAACATGCTCTTGAAATACTGACATTAATACAAGGCAGTGGCTGAACCAAAGCAGGTGGCAATCATGCACTGTTCCGGTCACCAGAAGGTAGACACTACCAAAGTAAGGGGAAATCAAGCTGCCACTAGGGCAGTCAAAAGAGCTGCAAGAGTAAGCCACCATTTATTAGAGCTCTGATACCTCAGCATGAACTGGACCAATACAAGCCCATTTATACTGAGGAAGATGAAAAATGAGACAAAGAATGGGCTGTTATTATTTTTTTTTTAGTTGTAGTTGGACACAGTACCTTTATTTTGTTTGTTTACTTTTATGTGACACTGGGGATCGAACCCAGTGCTCACACGTGCTAGGCAAGTGCCCCTACCACAGAGCCACAACCCCAGCCCCAAAGAATGGGGTTTTGATTCCTGGGATAGTACTGCCAGGTGGAGAGAAAATTCCCAAGGACTCATCCTCCTGTCTGAAAGACTGGTCTGGTCCTTGGTGAAACATCTACATGTGAATACACACAATGGGAGGGATACTTTGGTGAATCTTATCAAGCCCCATTTGCAAGGACCACACCTCCAAAAAACCACTCAGCAGGTTACTAGAAACTGTGCATTATATGCTCCTAAAAATCCCAACACTGAAAGGCAGCCTACTGTGAGGAACACACATGTGGGAACACAGACTTTTGATGATTTTACCTAAATGCCCCATACCATAGGAAACTTCAGATATTTGCTTGTACAGGTGGACACCTTCTCTGGGTGTAGAGGCATATTCTACCTGAAGAAAAAAGGCTTCAGAAATAACTAGAGTTCTCTTAAAGGAGTTGATCCCAAGATATAGGCTCCTTTCCTCATGCAAAGTGACAAAAGACCATCTTTTATTGCTAACGTGACCCAACAAGTGAGCAAAGCAGTGGCTATCCAGTGGAAACTACAAGCATCCTGGAAACCCCAATCTATAGGAAAAACAGAAAAAAATAAACCACATCTTTAAAAAACAGTGGCTAAATTATGCCAAGAAACCACCTGCAGTAGGATAAGATGTTGCCAATTGCTCTCCTCCGAATATGGATGGCCCCTAGAAGTGGGCTCAAATTGAGCCCCTATGAAATAGTGTATGGGAAAGCCCTTCTGCCATCCCAGGAGAAAGGGGAGAATATAGCTAAAGCAGGAAAAACTAGGCTAAAACAGTGTGTACAACAAATCAATCAATATTAACCATTATACATGAGTATACTTCTTTCAGGTCCCCTCCAAGTTTGAAATCACCTCTTCATTCCTTCCAGTCTGGAGACCAGGTGCTACTTACGACCTGGAAAGAGGGCTGGGGTTGTGGCTCAGCGGTGGAACGCTTGCCTACCACATGGGGGGCCCTGGGTTTGATCCTCAGTACCACGTAAAAATAAATGATATAAAGGTATTGTGTCCAGCTACAACTAAAAAAATAAATATTAAAAAAAAAAAAAAGACCTGGAAAGAACAGGGACTGGAGCAACAACTGTGAGAAAAGTGGACAGGACTTAATGACATGCTTCTGATAACCCACACATCCCTGAAACTTGCTGGAATAAAACCCTGGGTTCATCATACTACAGTGAAAAAGTATCCAAGAGACTTGCTGGAATGGACATCAGAACCCTTAGGAGATGTACTTGTTTGAGGAAACATAATGAGAGATTTGATGCCTTTACCAACTTCGATGCTTATCCCCATTCCCTCTCTAGGCTGAAAGAACAACAATTTGGTTAGAATAGCATAGACCTTGGCTACCTTGAATCAGGAGGTTGATTGATGATCTGCCTTCCAAGAGCACAATCTTCTATGGACCATGATGACCCCTTTGTATATCCAGTTATAAACTTACTCAGATACTAGGTGAAGGGAGACTGGGCACCGACATGAGACCTCGGAGCCTGCACCATTATGTATTGTGTTCGAGTAATGCATTACACAGCTGAGACACTCTTCAATGTTCCCTCTCTCACTCTTCCTCTTATGCATCTAATGCCATTTTCCTGGTCCATAGAGAAATACAAATTCTAAAATATCTTGAAAGGAGACCTCCTCCAGAACAAGAACAAACACCTTTGTGTGTACAAAATATTGTCTAATTTCTCACAGAAAAGATTACAGTGTAACTAATTGCTTACTCCCTCCCAGACCATTTTTGGATGGAATGCACAGAATTTAAAGTTGGGAATTATTTCCTATTGGGGACCTACTAGATTTCTTTAAAGAAACAATGGCTTTCTGGGTCCCTGCAGTACAGGTGTTCACATATAAAATTAATAACTATCCTTGGGCTATCAAATGCCTCAGAAACTTCACAACTCCCACCCAATGCTTTCTAGGGAATTTAGACACCATTTCAATTCATTATTTAAAGGAATCAGCTCACTGGGCAAGCTCCCTAAAGCTTTTTACTGGGCTGGCACAGGACCTCCCTAGTAGAATTCCTGACAGCGATGAATACTTTTCTGGCTACCTTACTGCCCTGGTGGGGCAGTAAGGTAGCCACACCATTGGGTCCTCCAAAATCTGTCAAAAACTTTGATCAACATGGGCAATGAGACAGCCTTGTCCGTCTCAAATTTACAGACTTGTCTGGACTTCTTGGCCAAGGTAGTTCTAAATAACTGCATGGAATTAGACTATCTGTTAGCCGAGTAAGGAGGAGTTTGTACTATAGCTAATACATACTGCTGCGTTTATATTAACACCTTCTCACAAGTGGAGACCAGTATTGAAAAGATCAGTAACTAGCAACCTGGCCACAACAGACCTTTGACCACCACACATCCCTTTTGGATGGAATGGGAATAGGCCTAACTGACTTGGTTTTCTAGCCTCTTCTCTTGTATACCAAGATATATTAAGTCTATTTTGCTACATCTTCTCTACCTCATTCTGACTACCTCACTCATCACTGCTCTTGTGTGTCTTTCCATTTACTGCTCTGTTGCTGTTCCACCCTTTGCAACTATGCAACAAAAAACCAGAAGAGAGAATGGGTAACAAGTAAACAGCTTGGAAATATAGTCGCCCACTTTCCATAAAAATGGAAGCTACAAATTGACAGTGGAGAAATGGAACAAGGATTCATTTGATGCTTTGACTATATCCCTTGTCGCTTTAAAACTTATATATATATTTTTTTTTTCCCTGGTCCTTCTTTTCCCTGGTCCTCTTTTCTCTGACCTTCTCCTCCCTGATCTTCTCCTTCTTGATCTCTCCTGCCTAATCTCATTTCCCTCAATCACCTCTTTAAACCACCCCAGCTCCCCCCCCCCCCCGTTCCCCCATGATAGAATCATAGGCTCTGGGACAAGAGTTCCCTGAATTTCTCCTTTGTTAACAAAGCAATATAACTTTTTCCTTTTTCTTTTAATTTTTTTAGTTGTAGATGGACACAATAGCTGTATTTATTTATCGTTTTATGTAGCGCTGAGGATTGAATCCAGTGCCTCAGACATGCTAAGCAAACGCTCTAGCATTTTCTAGGGTAAGGACATAAAAACAACTGAGATACTAAGGGAAAAACCTGGTATATATAGGGAATAGCTAGCAGTTCAGGTACAGGTATAGAAATAAGGAAAGTAAAAGTACTGAGATTAGTCAGCCCAGATCCATAAAGGCTTTGAATACAAGTCGGAATCTAACTTATATTCCTTCTACAAGGAAAATCAAAAATTCAAAAATTTATAAGTAATGAAATAAGTTCACAAATGTACAGTCCAAAGGTGAGTATTACATAACATCTAAAAAGGACTGGAGAAGAAATCTGTCCTCTGCCAGTATGAGAAACCTACAAAGTAATTAGGCAGGTGGGGGAAAAAATGGAGAGAAAGTGTGAGGGAGAAATACTAACACAGGATCAGTAAATTTTAAAATTAGTTAAATTTGGGAAGAAACAATGATTCAAATTTCAAGCCTTAGTTCAGTGAACTGCACTGAAAAAAAAAATGGCTCCCAAACTTCACAAATCACTTATCTACTTTCCTGAATTCCACCATATTTTAATTTCTTTTTTTAATTAGTGATTTTTGTAATACTTCTATTTTATTTATTTATTTTTATGTGGTGTTGCTGAGGATCAAACCTAGTGCCTCACATGTA